CGTCGCCCTCGATCAGGCGCGCGAGCCACACGGCCAGGTGGAGGTCCTCGAGGTTCTTGACGCACACGTTGAGCGCGGCCTTGAGCTGGTCGCGGCCGGCCAGGAGGAAGAAGGTGACGGCCAGCTCGTAGCGGCGCTTGCCCAGCAAAAAGTAGGCGTTCTTGAGGGCGGCGAGCTGCCACTCTTCCTTGGAAAAGTCGTGGGAGAAGAACTCGAGCATCTTCTGGTCGCGCACGGCCTTGAGGAGGGCGATGAGGGCGGTCTTCTTGTCGAGCGCGAGGTACCAGATGGCGGCCTCCATGGGCTCGCGCCGGTCGCCGCGCACGCCGGCAAAGGCCACCTTGGCCAGCCGCTCGGTGATGGACCGCACCACGGTCGGGTTGCGCGCCCACAGGGCCAGGCCCAGCTCGCGCACGTGCGGCCACGTGGCACGCTCCGGCACGTTGGCGGCCACCAGCGTGTCCTGCGCCTCCGAGTGGAGCGCCCACAGCCAATCGGAGGGGCCGAGCGGCGCCGGCGGCTTGGCGAAGGACTTGACGCGCTGGCCCAGCACGAACCGGAGCGCGCACGGGTCCAGGTCCTGCGAGGCCGTCGCGTGCTTGGCCAGCGCCTCGGCCACGGCCAGCAGGTGCATCTGCTCCGGACCCGACACCCCGCCCAGCCGCACCCCCGTCAGGTACTCCCCGAGCTCGCGCGCCTCCTCCTCCGACCACTTGCCCTCCTCCTCGCCGCCGCCGTTCCTGCCAACCTCGCCGAAGCCGCCGCTGCTCTCGGCTTCGTCGTCGTCCGATGAACTGTCGCTCGGCCGGCTCCACAGCTGCGAGTAGGCGTCGGCCTCGGCCTTGGCCTTTGACTTGGCCGGCACCGCTTCCTCCCTGGCATCCATCCAAGAATTTAGGAACATGTTGCTGACGTCAGCACAGCGCGTAGTTCGCCCAAGGCAGGAGTTGTGTGGTGGGTGGGAGCGTACCCGGCAGAGGCCAGAACGAGTGGGAGGAGGTCGGCGAGTGGTAGATCGGGCACGAAGAGCGGCCCGCGGGCGCCCGACGATGATGATGACGTGGCGGGCAGCGACCGGAGGGCGCGGAGGAGGTGGTGGAGGATGCGGATGGCGGGGCGGAAGCGCGAGGTGGACATGAGCTCGAAGAGGATGTGCGGGTGGTAGGCCGGCAGCGCGCAGCTCTCGGCCAGGGCCGCGCCGAGGAGCGAGGCGCCGCCGGGCGCGTGGGCCGGGTAGACCGCGATCTGCGGCCCGCTGGCCAGCAGCAGCACCCCGCTCTGCGCGCACCCGATGGCGCCCACCGGGTGATTGGCCGACGTGGCCGACAGCGGCGACGGATTGGTGGAAGCCGCCGCCGGGGAGTCGGCGGAGGGTTGGCCGCCGGTGAAGGGCAGGAGGGAGATGAGCTCCTCCCAGCGGAGGAGGAACGGGCTGTGCATGGAACGGGCGCGGGTGTAGTGGTAGATCTTGGTGGACCGGCCGCGGCCCACGACCAGCAGGGCGCTACCCTCGAGCACCTGCAGCCACTCGCACACGGTTCGGCAGCCCGCGCCCTCGCCTGTGCACAAGTTATGTGGAATGTGCGTGAGTGGAATGTGGAGAGGAATGCAGGGAATGCAAGAGTGCGCACTGGGGAGGCGGGCGTCGAGGCGCCAGCGGCTGGAGGGTGAGGACTCGGCCTCCCAGATGGTGAGCGCGCCCGACGCGGATGTGGCGGCCAGGCGATGGAACCCGGCGCACCGCACCGACGTCACCGCGTCGCCCGCAGCAAAAGCCGGCAGAGGCTGATCCGACGCCAGCTCGATTCCCTGGTGATGGATGGTGGTGGTGATGAAGAAGAGATCGTCACAGAGTTGGTGAGCCATAGAGCGGATGACAACAAGAAAGAGGAGAACGGTGGCCGTACTGCGAGTTGAAGGCGCCAGAAGCGGATGGTGCCGTCCTCGTGTCCGGTGACGAGGTTGAAGAGGGCGGAGAGGGGCGTGCACACGATGCTGGCGGTGATGCGCGGCACGCCGCTATCGAGGGGCTGGATGCCGCTCAGCCGCGAGTAGAGGGTCTTGCTGCCGCCCGCCTCCCTGGGCGCCTGCAGCCGCACCGTCCACAGTGCCACGCGGTCGCTGTCGATCCCCAGCACTACCGTGCCACCCTTTTTGTTGTTTTGTCATCATCACATAATGCAAATAAGTGAGTGTTACCATGCAACACATCCCAATCGATCGAAAATGAGCGGGCGATGGGAGAGAGCAGTCACCTGACGGGGCGAAGCGATCGTGTGCAGCTGTCGCAGGGGACCGAGCTGGTCGGAGCCCTCGAGCACGCCGATGCGCCGCGCCTCGCAGCCCGATGGCGGCGATGTGGGGTCGGCGCCCCGCTTGTCCTCCTCGAGGACGTCGTACAGCGTCACGCCGCCCGCGCCGCTTGCCAGGACCACCTTCCCGCTGCTGCCGGCCAGCCACGCGATGCAGCGCGTTTCGTCAGAGGCCGGGAGGGTGGCGAGATAGCTGAAGGACAGGGGCGTGTGGGCCAGCGTGGTGTCGGCGAGCTTCCACACGTGGCACACGTGCGCCGAGTCGAGGGAAGCGGCCAATTGGCCGCCATTGCCCGCGGCTGCCGGCGCGGGGGATAGGGCGAGCTGGCCAATGGGCGCCGAGTGGGCGAGCCCGCCGGCGGAGCCGCGGTGGGTGATGCGGAGGTCGCCGTTGGGCGAATCGGCGCCCGCCACGTCGAAGCTGCGGAAGGCGAGGCCGCCCTTTTGTCCGTAGACGTAGCACTCGACGTGGCCGGGCAGGCCGCGCGCGCCCCACATCCCGCACACCGCCCACACTCGCACCACCCTTCGTCCGATCGCGCCCAGGCCCATGTCCTGCGCAAGCGAGACACGACACATGGCACACAACACGACACACACGACACACACGACACAGGTAAACAGAATGAAGAGCACCACCAGGAAGAGGAGATGGCGATGGACGAACGAGTTGCATGGTGAGCGAGACGGAGGGGGCGTGGGTGGACGACTCGCTGTTGCTGCACAACCGCCATATGGTGAGGCCGCCCGTGTCGGACACTCCGCACAGAAAGTCGAGCTCGTCGGCCGTCTCTGTGGGCGCCCACATGACGATGATGCACGATGATGTCCACGACCACCCAAGACGGCGAAGAGCAACGAATCGTTAGGTCGTATCGGGGAGGGGGCAAGGTTGGGCTTCGGACAAGACCCGTACCGAGTGGTCGGCGAGCGTAGCGGCCAAACTCTGACGCTCCGGCAACGGTGGCGGTGTCTGTCGGCGGGGCGGCGGATGGTGGTGCTCTGGAGCGACTGAAGCCACTCGACACCGGGCGAAGTGGGCGCGTCGAGCACGGCGCGCACGTCAAACTTGGGGCCGGTGCCCTGGGGCTTCGTCTCGCTCTGCATCCACAGACGGCCCACCCCGTCTCGGCTCACCGTCAACAGCACGTTCCTGTTGCCACGTTGGAAACGCACAACGCAGGTCGCGATGACGTGAACGTCAACAATCTTTGCATCAATGGCGGCGCGTCGGTGTGTGACGGGTATTGTGTACCTCTGTCGGCACACGCGAGGGCGCCAGGAGATGGAGAGGATGGAGCGCGGGTGGGCCAGGTAGATGCTGCGCCTCCGCCTTTCGTTCTTGTCGCGCTGGTACCAGATCTGGCGTTGACAGTCGGCAAGTCAGCGAATCGTTTTCAAAACGAACAACAGAGAAATGCAAAATGCATGTAGTAACATATAAAAAATAAATAAATAAATAAACAATAATAATAGGGCTACCTTGACGAGAGGTTGGTATTGGGCGACGGTGGCGAGGTAGTGGCCGTCGGGCGAGAAGGCGCACTGGGAGACGGCGTCGCCGCTGCGCACGCTCCACTCCCGGGTCGTGTTGTCTACATTCCAGAGGGTGACCTCCTCGCCGCACACGGCCAGCATGTGCTCCTCCGCGGGCGACCACGCCAGCGCCGCGACCTCCGTGCCCTGCTCGAGCATGCACGCGTAGCGCCATCGCAACTGCACCCGCACGCACCACGGGAGTACAGCGTGAGATCTCTTCATGTGTTGTCTCGTCGTGTGCGGTGGGGTGGGAGTTGATACCGAAGAAGAGTCGCTGCCTTCGGGCTCGTAGAGGTAAACGGTGGTGCCTGCTCCCACGGCGAGCTGCACGCAGAGAGAGCACCACTTGAGCACAGCACCACCACCAATGCAGCAGCAGCTGCACGACCAACGGTACAGGAATGATAAAAATGTGTGTAGCAACGAACGTGTGCGTTACCTTGCCCTGGGCCGACCAGGCGAGTGCGGCGATGGGGTGCGGGAAAGTGGCGATGACCTGCAGCACACGCTGCAGCGCTGACGACGCGACCATCACCTGGCCTTGTGGACCCGCGTACGCCTGCGTAATAATAAATAAATACATAACGTAGTTTGAAACTATTGGTTAATAATCAAATATAAAAAATATTAAAAAAGCTGGCGTACGATGATTGTTTGGCTGTACAGGACGCCGCAAGCGAATGTGTTTGGTTGACCATGGCCAGCTCCTGCCACGACATGAGCAGGATCGAGTGAAGAAATGGCAGCTGCGGCCGCCATCTTCTTTTGATTATGAGGAACTCAAGCTGCCGCTCTCTCCACTGCTTTCTCTGGAAGAAAAAGCTAAAGAAATCTTTTCCTTCACCAGATCTAAACATGGCGGACGCAAAGAAGGGAGGAAAGAAGTTCAACCGCGAGTCTGGAGATGACCCACGTCGGCCGGCCCTGGACAAGTACGGCAGTTGTTATTCACGAGACCTCGTAATCCCGAGAAATCATTTGATGATTTTTTTTTTTGCTTTAGGCGATTCTTCATCGCACCCATGGAAGAGGATGCGCTGGGCGGCTACTCGCAAGCGGCCACAACGGCTGGCCTTTTCCTTGGCCTTATGGGTCTTCTGCTGAAGGTATATGCAGCTCCTCTCATCATCGTCATCCTTCTGTGTGCAACCATTGACCGTCGCTGTGGTCTACAAGATGCGCATCCTGGCCTGGGGCTCTCTGCTGGCGGTTGTCGCCGGCCTGGCCAACATCCCTCGCGCCGAACTCGACATCAAACAGATTCTGTCCTCCGTCATGTACTCCTGCCCAACCCCTTCCGCCATGTGTGGAGTTGTTGCAAACAAAACGAGCTCGTTCTTGACTGATCGTCTAAACTGCGCCACTCCTTTCGTTCGCTGGAATCGTTGTACTCTCCTCTTCCAGGATTGCCGTGATGGGTCTGGTCATGGTGCGTACAACGACACTCTCCTCAGTTTCTTCTGTTGTTTACTCGAGACCCGACCGACGGGATCACATGGTACACCCCAGCAGTACTGACCTTCTTCAATTGCTGTCGCATCGCGTAGGCCTACCTGTCGCCCCAACAGCCCAAGGCCAGCCAGTGAGGCCGCACGTGCTCACGTCCCCACGTGTGGAGAGAGGCTCTCAAAAGAAACAAAGAGAAAATGCAGCGAGAAATTCGCATTTACTGCCTTTCGCCTGTGCGTTGCGCACCCGCAACACCCAACACTACCCTACCCCACCAAGCAGCAGCTCGACTACTATGATGAGGCGCGGCCTATGGGGCGTACTGGTGCGGCCCACGCCATTTCCACCCCGCTGCCAGCGGCTTGCTGCCCACCACCTACCGAGTAGTAGCGGCATACCGCCCCTCCTCTCCTTGGCTGCTGCTCGGCCCAGCGCGTGCGCCCGCCTGCTGCCGCTGGTGCGCGCCACGCCCGCCCTCCAACTGCGCCACCACGGCGGCGGGGGCCACCGCCACCACGACCACGACCACAACCCGTTCGCCTTCCTCAAGCGCCTCTGGCCGGGCAGAGGCCACCTCAACGAGAAGGAGGGAGGGCACCATCACAACCACCACCATGCAGCAGCAGCAGCAGCAGCCATCGACAGCGCGCCGGTGAGCGAGGAAGAGGAGCGGCGAAGGGTCGAGGAGCGGCGGAAGGAGGTGCTCGAGTCGCAGCGCCTGTCGCGCGTGGTGACCTGGGCCGGCCTGGGCGCCAACGTGGCCCTCTTCCTCGCCAAAGCCGCCGCGGCACACGTACGCTCCTCCTTCGCTCGTGCGCGCGCGCGCAGCACACAAAAACAATTTTAGCTCCGATGCGACGTGAGCCCTCACTACCACTTGTGGCCGCAATAGTTCGGTGGCTCGGAGGCGATGCTGGCCGACGCGCTGCACACCCTGTCGGACGGCCTCTCCGATGGCGTCACGCTGTGGGCCATCTACATGAGCGCCCTGCCCCACTCTGCCGTACCTCCTCTTCCACCTCCAAGCTTGCAAGCTCTCAGCTCTCCGCAGAAAGTTGCGTTCATCGATGACCATTTCATCGTCAATCGGTGCGCATGCAATGTAGGCCTATCCGTACGGGCGCGGCAGGTTTGAGACGGTGGGCACATTCCTCGTGGCCTGCTCGTTGATCTCGTCGGGCGCCGGCATCGCCTACCATGCCGTCGAAGGCGTGCGTGCCGCAGCCCCCAGTGATCCAAAGAGAGAGAGAGAGAGGAGAACTGACCACCCCCAACAACAACAGGTCTTATCGGGCGAAGAAAGGTTGGTACCGACCGAGCTGGCCCTCTACGGCGCCATCGGCTCGATTCTGGTGAAGGAGGTACGCACCATCACCACCGATGATGATGATGAGCTACGACGTGAGCGCGGTCAGAGTGCTCACACAGCACACGCCGGCGCGGTGGTCCACCACAGATTTTGTATCAGGTGACGATGGTGGTGGCGCGACGGGCCAACTCGAGCCTGCTCAAGGCCAACGCGTGGCATCACCGCTCGGACGCCATGTCGTCCATCATCGCCCTGCTTGGTATCGCCGCCGCCCAGGCCGGCCAGTCGCCCTACTGGGACCCCGTGGCTGCCGCCGTCGTGTCCGCCATGATCGTACGCACGACACGACACGACACGACACGACACGACAGACACGACGCTCACGACTTGATGTGTACGCCATGCAGGTGCGAATGGGGTGGGGCATGGTGCGGCAGAGCGTGGGCGAATTGACCGACGCGGCCAAGGGCAACGAGGAGGACGTGGCGGACGTGCGCTACCTGGCCCTCCGCGTGCCCGGCGTGAGGGAGTGCAGCGCGGTGCGCGTGCGGCGGCTCGGTCCCTACAGCGCCGGCGACGTTCGCATCGCGCTTGCAGATCCCGGGGCCAGCCTGGACGAGGCGCTGGCCATCAAGGACAAGGTGCGCAGCGAGCTGCTGCACCACATGCCACAGCTCCGAGAGGTCGTCATCGAGCTGAGCTCGCCAACCCCTCATCACCATGGCCGCCATTCCGCCACCGAGGAGAAGAGGGTCCAACAGGCCAGCGACGTAGAACAGACAACACCGTCAGGTGATGATTCGCACCGATGAGCAATTTTTCCAGCTAAATAGAAAAAGAAGTACAAATCCAACAATAAATCATCCGAATTTTGATTTCACATCTTTCATCCCACGAGATAAAACGCATTCATTTATTCGAACACAACAAAAAGGATGCAAAAGCCACAACAGCCGATGCGTACGCACACGCCGGAAGAGGAGGCCGATGCCGAGTGGATGAAGAGGCAGCGGCTGGTGGAGAACATCGCCAACAAGCAGCAACAGTGCCGCCTCATAGAGGACCAGGGCCGGCAGTGCTCCCGCACACGACCGCTCACCCCCGAGTGCATGGACCTGCTCAAAATGCAAATCGCCTGCTACGGGTAATCATCACTTTCATCTCATCATCTTCAGTTTCGCCAATCGCTCATTGCGCTACTTGCCACAGAGAGCTGTTGTGCAGTGACTTGTCGGACAAGGCGGTGGAGTGCCTGCGACGGAACAGCAGCGGGCAGGAGGGTGCGGTCGAGGTGGCGTGTGCGGTGCCGCTGCGGCAGCTCAAGGAGTGCGTGCAGCCCCGTCTCCGGCCCCACAAGCTCGCCTTCCGGCAAGAGGCGGCACGTCCCAGCCAGGTACTCACACTCGCGTCCCCCCCCTTGATGGGCTGAGCTCTCCCGCCTTGCGGTGATCTGACGCGTGCATCGCGGCGTGTGTCGTGTCGTTGGTGCGTGTGCGTGTGCGATGGTGTGTGGTGCGTGTAACAGGCCTGTCCGGCTCAAGCCGCGAAGCTGGAGGCTTGTCTGGCAGCCGCCCACGATCCCTTGCAGCCTGCCGACCCGCACGGCTCGCTCGGTGCCCCATCCCCTCTACTCCCCTACTCGGAGCTCGACTGATGATGGCCAATCAACCAAACAGAAGCTAATGATGATGATGATCTTCTTCTTCGCGTTGTTGATGGTGGTGAGTACAGGGAAGCCCAAGTGCCCAGCAGAGCTGGCCGAGCTGCACGAGTGCTTCACAACGTCAGTGTGCCCCGAGCCCATGGCCGCCCTTCGGCAATGCTTCGCACAGCTTCCACGACCAGCCGACAACGTACGTTTCCTCTGTTTCAAATAATCCACTTGGCACGTCAACGTCATCATCGGTCATTGATCCCGCTACTCGCTCGAGCAGAAGGAGAGCAGCGCGGAACCAGAGGCGGCCCAGGCGGCGTGCATGGCGGAGAAGAGGCGGGTGAGCATGTGCATGCAGGAGGACGCCCTTCGCTCCTACGCGCGCCAGGGCATCCCACTCTCCCTCCACGCCAAAGAGCAGTAAATAAATAAACAAATGCTCGATATTATATCCTATTTTATTCTAATAATTATTTTAGCAATAACTTCGCATTCCGCGCATACCAGCCAAGCACCCGGTTCCCAAGCTCTCGGCGAACACGCGAACAAGAAGACAAACAGAGGAACAAATCACGTAAAAGGCATTACCACTCGTCACGCCGGGCAGGGCCACATCAAGGGTCCCTTGCCGCATCATCTTCGTCCCTCTGTGAGTCTCCATCACGTGATCCGTCGCAATGTTCACTTCGAATCGAAAGGGTAACTATCGATAATCCATCTTTTCATCTATCATCTGCCGTTGAACCTCTATCCCACCATCTAAATGGCCATCCATTCTTCTTGTTTCTTGACAGAATCCTCCTCAGCCTCGAGGCGGGGGATCACCATTACGTACCAATTCGAACCAATGACGCTCACCATTGATGGAAAGTCAAGCCTCGACGACCTCAAAGAGCTCATTCTCAAAAAAGAGCTGCTTCGCGCCAGGTAACTTGCTCGGCTCCCTCACTTTGTGCTGGTGGACCGGCCCCCTCCTTTATTATTATTTTTTGTGTTATTATTTTATTTATCGCCAATTAATTGCTTCTATTTTTTTGTTTGTGCCTTTGCCTGCGCCAGGCTGTTGACCAACATCACCCTGGACGACGTGGCCCTGTCGAAGAACGGCGAGACGCTCGGGCTGGAGAAGAAGCGCTCGTCCAAGCGAAAGAAGAACAAGAGCCTCAAACGGCTGGGTCTCGTTGACGGCGACGCCCTCACCCTCACCTACTCCTCCACAAACGACGCCCTCACCGCCGGCGACGTACGTCTCTCTCTCTCTTCTTCACACGACGCACACGACACACGGCACACACGGACACACATGGTGTGCCACTCGTTGACTTACCGAGTCTGCACGTGTCGTGTGTGTTGTGTGTCGTGTGCGGCCCAATGCGTAGGAGGAGAAACTGCGCACGGCGCTGCTTTCGGTCTCGGTGCGAAGATCCCGCGGCGACGGCGGTGCTGCGTCGTCCTTCACCCACGACATCTCCACGTGGGAACTGCCCATCAAGGTAACCCCCCTTCCCCCTTCCAACCCACATTCCCACCATTCCCCACCGGCCCAGTCGATCAAGTCAGTCATCAACAACGGCTCACATGACGAGGGTCCACCACCCAATTGCAGGACATCACGCTTCACCCGCAGCGACTTGGCAGCGGCTCGTACGGCTCGGTATTCAAGGTATGCACGAGCCTTTCTGTGCGCTTTTGGTGTTGCGTAAAACTCATCAATCGGGCGATGCCGACGGGTGACGGCGCACGACAGGGCGAGCTGCGGGGGAGCGAGGTGGCGGTGAAGTGCATCAGTCTGCCCGAGGGCAACGATACGCAGGAGCAGTCGGAAAAGCTCATCGCCAACTTCCGCAACGAGTGCGCCATCATGACGTACGCGTCCCTACCACACGCAACCCCGCGCGCGCTACAGGTTTATTTTATGATTGATCATTATTCTTTCACACGAATGTGTGTAATTACGGTGTCTCACGCTGTTATTTGCTTTCTATTCTATTCCATCTCTCAATGCAGTAAGCTGCCGCATCCCAACGTGCTGACGCTGATGGGCGTGTGCATCGAAGAAGAACAACGCAAGCTCATGCTCGTCATGGTGCCTCCTCTTATTTCTTTTTGCCTTATTTCTTTCTTTTACTTTTTTGTTGTTGTTTTGTAATTCCCACTAACGTGTTTGGCAAACGTTTGGAATCGGCGTGTTATTTGGGGATTGCAGGAGCTGATGAGGGAGTCGGTGTACGACATGCTGCACCAGAAGAACCAGGGCAAGATCCCCTTCAAGAAGCGCATGAAGGTCGCGCGCGAGTGCTGCCTGGGCATGAACTACCTCCACACGGCCTCCCAGCCCATCCTGCACCTCGACCTCAAGACACAGAACCTCCTCATCAACGACCAGGACGTCACCAAAGTCGCCGGTACCGCAACTCTCCTCTTCGTGTTGCGTGTGTGTCGTGTCGCGTTGTGTGTTGCGTGTGTGTCGTGTCGTGTCATGCTGAAATCGACTTCGACGCGTTCGTTCCAGATTTCGGCCTGTCGCGTGTATCATCGAAGATGCGAACGGCAGCGAGCGGGCCAGTGGGCACCCCCATCTACACGTACGCCCCCCTTTAGCATTCCCTGTCTTGCGAGCCAGGGCTGACCCGGGTGCGTGCGTCGTTTGTGTGTCGTGTATCGTGCGATGGGTGTCATCATCATCATTCGAATCGAATGGCTGCCGATGATCCTATTAGTGCGCCGGAGCTGTTCCTGGACGAGGACGCGCCGTTGAACACGAAGGCCGACGTGTACAGCTTCGGCATCATCCTGTGGGAGCTGCTCACGTGCGAAGTGCCCTACCCCGACATCAACGACCTCAAGGAAGTCTACGACGAAATCGTCGTCAATGGTACTTGCGGCGCAACACACCACACACACAACACACAACCGCACACGCACGACAGAGATGTCGAGAT